TTGGTCCTTCGTTTTTTGAGAATATTTTGCTATGAGCTCATTCATGGCTCTGAGTGCTAAGATTACAGGTGGAATCCAAGCTTCCCTTCCCCAGCCCCATTTTTCTAGAATTTCCACTTGCTCCGTTTCTAAGCTCCTTGTTTCCTTCTACCACAGATAGGACAAGCTTCTCTGGCTCCAGCAGAAGGGGAGGCTGGACTAGGGTAGCCTGTCCGTTCCAGGAAGGGGACAGGTCTGGGACACACGTGGTGACGCCTTTTTTTTTTTGGTACCGGGGATTGAGCTCAGATCTCTGCGCTTGCGTAGCAGGAAGTAGAACCATTAAGCTAAGTGCCTGGCCCTGATGCTCACTTTCTGCGGGAAAAATACTCAAGAAGTAAAAGCGCCCCCAAAAGGACTCTACAGAGCGAGCAGATGTCAGCTAGGGGAAAGGAAGCACTGTACAGTCTGCAGCGTGAGGCAGAGCAGACCGGTACAAAGGCTTCCTGCAACCGCGAACTTCCTAGCCATCGTCTTTTATAGCCTCCCTTCTGACGTCAGCTCTAAGCCACCTATCAAAAACCTGCTTGAGCATGTGCTGGAAGGTTGGTACCAGGTGCAGGGCTTGTGGCCGTGGTTAACAAGTCTCCACAGCTGACGGTTCTGCCCAATTGCCCAGTCACGCTGCCATGCCCTGGTCTCCTGCCTCACTACCTCTGCTATGAGTAGCTACTTCACAGCTCTGGAATGAGCTCCTGGGCCTGAGTGGAGCACTGCACACCCATCCGTGTGCTTTGTCCTTTAAGCAGTCTCTTAGAGGAGGAAGCATTGTTATTCCCATTGTACAGGGGAGTAAATGAAGACTTGGAGAAATTGCTCAAGGGCTCAGCTAGGAACTGGAAGAGCTCAGACACAGCCAGACCTTGTCTCCTTAGGAACTTTTTCTGCTGTCCACACCCATGGTCTCTGGTGGGGCAGTGCAGGCCTCTCAGTTTTAAAATGGGGAGACCGGATGGGGGATTTAGCTCAGTGGTTTTTCCGCCTGCTTTGCAAATGCAAGGTCCTGAGTTTGATCCCCTGTACCACAAAAATAAAATAAAATGGGGAGACTGAGACCCCAAGAAGCTTACTGAGGCTTCTCTTAAGGTATCACTGATGCACTGAGGCTGAGACAGGAACATTGCAAGTTTAAGTCCTATCTGGGCAATTTAGCAAGGACTTGTCACAAAATAAAAATTGAAAAAAACGGCTGGGGATATAGCTCAGAGGTACAGTTTTCCTGAGTTTGATCCCTAGTACTTGAAGCGGCGGGGGTGGGGGTGGGGGTGGGGAATCACTGATATAGGAAGTTCAATGAATGGTCGTAAAGTGATAAGTAGAACTATACATATCAGGGAGGAAGAACAAGCTTGGTTGCATTGCTAGAAAAGGACCCTATTGCTTGCTAGGACCCGATTCTGTTGCTTGAATTGGTTACAGAAACTTTTGCAAGATCTAAATTGGTGAAAGGAGGGAGAAAGAAGAAGGGGAAACTTTTACTGTATTGCTATAGAATAGTTCTTCTTGCTATCTCTATGATCATCTCACTTATTTGTCCTTTATTATTCATTTTGTGGTGCTGGGGATTGAGCCCGAGGCCTTGAGCTTGGAAGGCAAGTGTTTTGCCACTGAGCTACACCCTACCCCCCACTCAACAATCATCCCAAGCAGAATGAACCACACCTGGTATTGTATAAGGGGGGGGGGGGGGGGGGGGGTGGGGGGGTGGGGAATCACTGATATAGGAAGTTCAATGAATGGTCGTAAAGTGATAAGTAGAACTCTACATATCAGGGAGGAAGAACAAGCTTGGTTGCATTGCTAGAAAAGGACCCTATTGCTTGCTAGGACCCGATTCTGTTGCTTGAATTGGTTACAGAAACTTTTGCAAGATCTAAATTGGTGAAAGGAGGGAGAAAGAAGAAGGGGAAACTTTTACTGTATTGCTATAGAATAGTTCTTCTTGCTATCTCTATGATCATCTCACTTATTTGTCCTTTATTATTCATTTTGTGGTGCTGGGGATTGAGCCCGAGGCCTTGAGCTTGGAAGGCAAGTGTTTTGCCACTGAGCTACACCCTACCCCCCACTCAACAATCATCCCAAGCAGAATGAACCACACCTGGTATTGTATATCACTTGTCTTTGTTTTGTAAGTCATACATGGCTTTGCAAAACAAACAAACAAACAAACAAAAAAGCATATACTTTGAATTTTTAGGCAGTAGTATCTAGGCATCATGTTATTCCTCCCATTTCTCTGGTAATTATAAGTTGTTTTGTCTTTGTTTTTGTTTTGCAGTACTGGGGACTAAACCCAGGGCATTTACATGAATAGCTACATCCCCAGATGTTTCTAAAAATTGTTTTTTTATCTTGAGTCAGGGCCTTGCTAAGTCACTAAGTTGGCTAGGCTGGGCTTGAATTTGTGATTCTTCTGTCTTAGCTTCCCAGAGTGTTAGGGTTACAAGCCTGAGCCGCCACTCCTGGCTTGCACCTCAGGTTTATCAGAGGGCTGGGGGTTTTAGAAGTTTAGAGACCTACCAAGCACCTGGGGCCAACATCAGATCCCTATCTGAGCTGAGCCCTGTTGCTGCTCCTGCTCACCTACCTGAGGGCAGGAGCTACTCTGAGTAATAAGCCTCTATTACGTAGATCAGGTTCCATGAGGCTGGGGTTGCTCAATGCTCAGAACCCATTGGCAATGCCTGTTTTGCTTCCCACACTCTGGGCTCTCCAGGAAACCTCTGCCGGCCTGGCACTGGTCTTCTGAGTTTGGTCAGGAGGGTCAAACCATGGGGTCCCACCCCTCAGGTGTCCTGGGAAGGTTGCATGCTGGTGTGGTTGAAGACCAAGGCCTGGCACTATGATGTGGGGGTCAGGCTGGCCAGCAGGCATGAGTCATAGTTCCAGGACAGGTGATCTCAGTAACTTAAGCCACAGTGGCCCCAGCTGAGACCCTTCTTCTGATCTCAAGCCTGCTGGCTTTTTCTTATTGTTGCTGGTGAGAGAAAATTACTATAACTGTATTTCTGGAGAAATAACTAACATCATTTTCCTCCTAACACTTGAAGCAGCATTGCAATTTAAAAGCATGGACTCTGAGCCTGCCTGCGTGAGTTTTTATATTAGTTTTCTACGGCTGCTATAACAAAATTAAGGTTGCTACAAATTTAGAGGCATAGAACAACACAGTTATGATCTGGGGATTTAGCTCAGTGGCACTACGCCTGCCTTGCAAGCACAAGGCCCTGAGTTCAAAGTTCAATCTCCAGTACCAAGAAAAAAAACAAAAGAACAACACAGATGTAACATCTTTTTTTTTGAGAGGTGAGAGAGAGTGAGAGACTTGCTATGTAGCTCAGGTTGGCTTTGAACTCACTGCAATCCTCCTGCTTCAGCCTCCCAAGTTTGGGCACTCCAGGTGTGTACCACCATGCCAACTTAACAGATATATTATCTTGTTGGGTCCTTCTTGTCTTCAGAGTCAGCAACATAGCATTGCTGTAGCCGCTGCTCCCATCACACCTCTCCCTCACTTGCCCCACCCCTCTCTCCTATGTAACCCTCTTGGACCCACTGGATCCACCCTGATAGTCCAGGAAAATCCCTGTATATCAAGTTTCTGAACCACACCACCAAAATCCCCTTTGCCTTGGACATAACGTACTCACAAGGATGGTAGAAGGATGAATATAGTAAAGATTATAAAAGTGTCTGCTAGCTAATATGAAATTCACAAGTATATATTTACGATATATACATATATATTTAAATATACAAAAATACATATACAATATATATGGTATATAGTTATGTATGCATTGTGGAACACTAAATCAAACTAATGAATATGTACCTATCACTTCATATACTTACCCTTAAAATATATTGAATATATCAAATATTAAAATAGAAATACACACTCCTTAGTAAACTTACTATTTGTTCTGTTTCACAGAAATGAAAGCATTAGGCTACCTAATGTAGTTATTATTAAATAATTGTCTATATGACCAAAAAATGGAAGGAAGGGAAAGAACAAAAGGGAAAAAACGCACAAATAGACTATTACATGAATGTCCTGTCAGTAGGGCAGTGTTGGGGTCAGTTACCCATCTGGAATATAATGGAAAGATTAGACACAATTAATCCATGCCTGTAGACCTGGAAGAAATGTTCTGAATGGAAGAAAGATTAGAGGAGGAAGTCATACAGAAATGATATCATTGGAACTGATTTTTTAAAAGACGTTAAACAACCTCTTGAATTAGCAGTCCCAACCTTTTGGGCACCAGGAACCAGTGTCAGGGAAGACAGTTTTTCCACACCAGGGTTGGGTAGGGGTGGTTTCTGGATGATTCAAATGCTCGTTAGCCTAGATCCCTTGCATGCACAGTTCTCAGTAGGATCTGCACTCCCCTGAGACTCTGACCCCAGGCCTGACCCATCAGGAGGGTGCTCAGGCCATGATGGAGCAATGGGAGAGGCTTGAAACACAGATGAAGCCTCGCTCCCTCGCTTCCCACTATGCAGCCTGGCTCCTAAGAGGTCATACACTGGCCTGTACTGGTCTGGGGCCTGAGGGTCAGGGACCCTTTCCCTAAGTGGTTTTGATATCTGGTCAATTTTTATTTAATGTGTGCATGTCACAGTTTCCCAGCGGGCTCTGGCAGAGGTTAAGGATGATGAGGAATGTGCGTTCCACCCTGCTTACCCATGGCCTTAGATGCAGGGAACTCAGAGGTGCTAAGAAGTGGTTACTTTGTGTTTATTTCTGCATTTTTCATAGAAGTAGAAATTGTTACTGTAGAAATCTTTTACCCTGTTTCATTGATAGTTCGGGTGCAATCGTCGTAACCATAAATACAGAATCAGGGACAGCACTAACCTAGAAACATGACAGTAAGTTTGGCAGTTTCGGGAGACAAATTTAATAACAAAAATTGAAAAGGAAAAGAGGCAGGATAACCCTGACTCAGGCTGGCTCTGTGTGTCCACAGCCTCTACTGCCGAGGCTGCTCCAAGCCTCTGTGCTGCTCGTGTGCTCTTCTGGACCGCGACCATGGAGACCTCAGGTGTGACATCGGCACGGAGATACAGCAGTGGCAGTCTGAACTGGACTCCATGACGCTTTCGCTGCAGGAGCAGGACCGCGCCTTCGAGGTCGTGCGCGCGCAGGTGCGCTCTGCAGTCCGCCAGCTGGGCCAGGCACGCGCCGACACCGAGGAGCAGATCCGCGCGCACGTTCGCCAAGTGATTGCGCACGTGCAGGCGCAAGAGCGTGAGCTGCTGGAGGCTGTGCAAGTGCAGTACCAGCAGGACTATGAGGGTATGGCCGGGCGCCTGAGCCGCCTGGACGCTGTGCTGCAGCGCATCCGCGTGGGGGGCACGCTGGTGCAGAGGATGAAGCGCTATGCCTCCGACCAGGAGATGCTGGAGATGCACGGCTTCCTGCGTGAGGCGCTGTGCCGCCTGCGCCAGGAGGAGCCCCAGCACCTGCAGGCCCCATTGCGCACCAATAGCTTCGATGAGGTCAAGGTGCGCCTGCAGAATCTCATGTCTTGCATCCCTCAGGGGACAGGTGAGTGCTCAGGCCTTTGTCATGTAAAGGCTTATAGATACCCAGCCAGGTGGCACATGCCTATAATCCCAGCATTCTAGGGAGGGTGAAGCAGGAGGATCAGAAGTTCGAGCCTCGCTTGGGCAACTTAGCATGACCCTGTCTCAAAATTTAAAATGTAAAGGGCTGGAACTGTAGCTCAGGGCTAGAGCCCTGGATTCGATTCTCCTACCACAAAAAGTGGGTGGTGGTGTATACCTCATATTTCCTGGAAGATGAGCTCAGTGAGTTAAATAGTTTCCCCTGCATACTGACTGGGCAGCAGCAGAGAGAAGAGTTATTTTCTTCTGAAGCAGGTGAGGTTTAGATTATGCTTAATAAAAACAGACCAGGAAGAGCGTCAGGGAGCCCTCACCTTAGAGTCCATGAGCAGAAATGGCTTTAGGGCTGTCCCTATCTTTCCCTACTATTGGCCCAGAGCTGGAGAGATGTACACTTGGGTTGGGGCTCTGCTATGCCACCCTCTCTCCCTTCCTTCTGGCTGAGTCCCTCCCTCCGTAGTCAGAGAGCTTTCCTTTCAACTTCCCACTGTCTGTAGATGCCCTGAAGAAAGCATATCTAGTACAAAGACAAAAACCTCCTGCACATCCCTTTCCCAGGCCAGGATGCCCCTCTTTGGGGTGTCCCTCAACTTCCTATCCCTTCTGTGTTCTCCAGATGCAGCTCTTCCCAGGAGAGCCAGTCCTGAGGCCCCCAGAACCCCCAATGACTGTTCCGTCACTGGCCAGGTGAGAGGGTTATGTGGTGGGAGGGGGAGGTGGGCAGGTTTAGGAGAGTTGGGAGCTTCTTGTTGCTGTGTCTGCAGGGAGTATGCTGGGGAGGAACAGTGAGTGGCTGGATGGGAGCTTTCCTGGGAAGGATTAAAAGAAGGCATTAAGGAGGGATCAGCTGGTTGGCACTGGGCTCCTGCATGCTAAGGTCGATGGACCAGGAGCCAGCATCAGGAGAAGTGAGGCCCAGGGGTGGACAAACACTGAAGGAAGTGGTCTCTGGCATGGCCCTGTTGGCTGTGGCATATGGCCTCCCCAGTTTCGCAGCCCCACACCAATGCTTGACCATTTCCTAGGGCCAGAACAGGTGGACCTTCTCTTTTCCCACTAATGGTTCTGTGACTGGGATGGAGAACAGAACCAAGAACCAGTCTTCCTTCCAGCAGCCTGGCTTCTGCATACCCCAGGCCATCAGATACCTGAGAACCACAGTTTCTTGGCATCCCCTCTGTAGTGCCCGTGACCTATGGGCATCCCACTTTCACAATCTTCTCTGTTCCTTCTGCAAACAGCTGCTCCCACCGCTGTGCTGGTCTGACTCTGAAAGGGCTTCCCTGGCGGATGCAGTTATGTTCACGGGTGGGGCTCCCTTCCAGTGGAATGAGTTCCCATTCCCTTCCTGGCCCTGGTAGCTGGTCTAGGAGAAGAAGCAGTCCTCCCTGAAGAGGAGGCAGCAGTGGGAAGCTTCCTAGCTTTGCAATTGTGTGACCCATAGGAGAGAGGGTTGAATATGGGCTGAGGTAGTCAGGAAAGGCTTCCTGGAGGAGGCAGAGTGTAGAGCCGGAGAATCTCAGAGCAACAAGGGAGGATAAAGCTGAGGCCCACAAAGAAGCTGGGGCTTACACAAAAGCAGTCCTCCCTGAAGAGGAGGCAGCAGTGGGAAGCTTCCTAGCTTTGCAATTGTGTGACCCATAGGAGAGAGGGTTGAATATGGGCTGAGGTAGTCAGGAAAGGCTTCCTGGAGGAGGCAGAGTGTAGAGCCGGAGAATCTCAGAGCAACAAGGGAGGATAAAGCTGAGGCCCACAAAGAAGCTGGGGCTTACACAAGGGCACACACAGCAAGCTAGAGGCACAGCTACGTCTTTTTCTTAATACCCAAAGTCCATTTCTGTTCTTTGTATTTGTTGTGCTGAGTATTTCCCTCCCTTTTTTATTTGTACATGATTGTGATACATAGTAACACTCACCATGGGGGGACTGGAGCATATACAGTCCCATCTTGATCCTTTGTACTTCCCCTTTTCTTCACTTCCCTGCCTTCTTCCCCCATCCTCTCGTCCCCTGTCCATCCTTTCAAAGAACCAACTTTTTGATTCATTGACCCTTTATATCATCATCATCATCATCATCATCATCATGCTGATTTCTAGCTTCACTAGTATGTGGGGGATTATTTCAGTTCCTTTATATTTACTTAAGCATGCTTTATGGCCTAGGATACGGTCTAGTTCAGAAAAAGATCCATGTACTTCTACAAGAAATGTGTATTCTGCCACTGATGGATGAAACCTCTAAGCCTATTTGTTCTATGGTGTGGTTTGACTCTGATGTTAATTTCTTGTTTTTTTTTTCATGTGGTTGACCCATCTGATTGGGAAATGAGGCATCAAACTCTCTCGCTGTGACTGTGTTGGTGTCTGTCTGGCCTTTCAAGACCAGTAGCCTTTTTTTGAAGTCCAGTAGTTTTTGTTTTATGAAGTTGGGTGCACTGACATTTGATGCATAGATATTTGCAATTGTTACCTGTCCTTGGCGAATTGTTTCCTTTACCAGTATGTGGAGTCCACCCTTGTCTCCTCAGGTCACTGACATTTGATGCATAGATATTTGCAATTGTTACCTGTCCTTGGCGAATTGTTTCCTTTACCAGTTATGTGGAGTCCACCCTTGTCTCCTCAGGTCACTTTTTTTTTTTCAATTAATTAACGTTATTGATACCTTTAAGGTATACAGTGTAGTGACATTCATCATTGGAAATTTGTACCTTTACATAATCCATCTTGGCTCTGGTCACTTTTGACTTAGTCTGGTGAGTCTGAAAATAAGACTCATGTTTTCAGGCTCCAGGTGAATGGCTCATCATTTCCATCCTTCAGTCTGTGGACTCTTTTAGGGTGAATTGCGTTTCCTGTTCTAAATATGTGTTTGCATGTTGTTCTCTGATCCCATCTTCTAGTCCATGTCTTTTGATTGGGGAATTGAGATTGTTGATATTGAGTTATCATAAGCAGTTTATTGAATCCTGTCAGTGCTTTATTTTTTCAGTGCTTAGTCCCTGTGAAACTCTTGGGTTTAATCCCCAGTGCCACACACATAAATATATAAAACATAACATATATGTGTGTGTATATATATATATTTTTTTTTTTTTCAATTTAGTGCTGGGGATCAAACCCAGGGCCTCATCCATGCTAAGCAACGGCTCTACACTGAGCTACCCTCCCAGCCCTGTGTGCAGGTTTTCATCTGAGTGTCTCTTGGGTACATGCTTAGGAGTAGAACTGCTGTATAGTTGTGCTTTGTACGGTTGTGTTTTGTTTCATCTGCCGAGACATTCGTCATCTGCCCACCCATTTCATTGTGAGGCAGGTACATGAAGCTCTTAGCACTGCACCCAGCATGGAGTTGTCATAAAATGACATTTATCTCCATTGTCATTATCATCGTTACCAGCATTAATGGCACTTTCAGAGCTTGAGGTACTCTTCCAAACATTATGCCTAAGTCAAACCCGTGTCATTCACATTGCTGGACAAAGGAGGTGTCGTTATTCTCTTTTTACAGAAGGAGGCCAAGGCTGAGGAGTTTGGAGGAACTGGCCCGGTTTGTGACATAGCTGTCCAGGGACAGTTAATTGTGCAGGGGCCAGGATCAGCCTCATGCCAAGATTTTTCTCTCCATTGGAACTTTGTGTTGTTGAGGGAGCTGTGATCCTTAGCAGTGAGCACCTTCTGGGAGCACATGCTGAACTCTTGGGCACATCTTGAGGAGGAGCTGGGCAGCGTGGACCCTGAGGTATCTGGACATATGAGAAGTGACATTTGGCTGGATACTACCCCAGGGTCTGGTAGAGGTGATGTCATGGCAGGTTTAGGGAAGGCTTCTTGCCTCCAGTGAGAACCAAGTTTGGGAGTTCTGAGATTGGCTGCAGGCCTGGGGTCCCTGGGTTGTTTCTGACTCTTATTTCCCAACTTTGCAGCCCAATGACGCACAGAAGGCACAGGCACAGGACCTGGGGCTGTCTGAAGCCCAGCCAGCGGCTGAGGTACAGTTGGTACCCAGAGCACACCCTGTGCCCATCTATGCCTTCTCCATGAGAAGTCCCTCATCTGGAGAGGTAAGGCCTGCATGCTGTGCCTCCCTCCCCGAGCCCCAGCTCCACACAGGCAGGGAGCAGGGGGAAGAGTCCTGGCCATCATTAGCTCCTTGTGAGGACTGACCTGCTTTATACCCAGTCTTCCCTCTCCCAGGGCCCTCAGAGCTGGCAGGAGCCGGCAGGGGCGGGCAGCCAGTACCAGGGCCAGTATGCATGGCAGCCATGGGAGGCTTCCTGTGTGTAAGGCAGGGTTTGAATAGCAGAAAGCAGAGGAAAGGGCACAGTGATAGAGGGAGGAAAAAGAGATATGACCACAACACTGAGCATGGTGACACAGTGTAATCTTAGCTACTCAGGAGGCTGAGGCAGGAAGACCACATGTTTTAGCCCAGCCCCACCAGCATAATGACTTATCAAGACCCTGTCTCAAAATTAAAAATAAAAAGGACTAAGGATGTAGGTCCATGGCAGAGCACTTGCTGGTATGCACAAGGTCCTGAGTTCAATCTTTAGTACTGCAAAAATAAAAATAAAAGATGTGGCCACAGGCTTCTGGTACCTAGTCCAGGTCTCTGGTCACCAACCCTGGAGAGACCTGACCCAGCTCTGTGACTCCCCACCACACAGGTCTCTAACATAATCTCTCCAAAGAAGAGAAAGTCCTGCCAGACCCAGTGCTCCAGGAAAAGCATCAAGTTGGAGTCAGAGGAGGACAAGGAGGTGCTCTCCATCCCCAGCCCCACTAAGCAACCCAGGCCCAGCACCTCCAGGGCAGTCTCTCCCCCTCACCTGGATGGGCCTACCCAGGCTAAGAGCCCCACCGTGGGAAAAGAAGTCTTGCAGCCCAACAGCACCCCAGTGGCCAGTGTTGCTGTGGAGGCAGGTAGGGGCAGCAGGGGCAGAGCGAGTCCCCCTCTGCATCCTGACCCCCCAGGGAGCCCAGCGCCCATGGGACCCCCTTGTGGGTCCTCCTCTGAGCCACCACAGCGGAGGGAGGGACAGCCCACAACCTGCAGAGGGGTGGGAGTCTATATGAGCTGCTGTGTGTCCTGCTTGATCCCAGCATGAGGAAACCGAGGGGCTGGAAACCATGGTTCTTTGTGTCCTTTCCCCAACACACTTTCAGTGCCCACCCCAAGCCCGCTGCACAGGTGTTTGCACTACAGGACACGCTTGTTGGCGAGCATCTAACACTCCCAGAGAGGGCTGTGTGAGGTCTACCTGGACATCTTCCTCAGTTCTGCAAACACCACCCACCTAGTTATCTCTTTTGTCCTCACTGATATCTTTTATGGAGCCTGTCAGATAGGGAAACTGAGTCCTCAGGAAGGAATGAGGTCAACTCTAAATATTCTGGAACTAGAAGGCCTGTCTTTATTCTCCACTGGAGATTACCAACAGAGGCCTGACTCTGGTTACACACAGGGCCCTGCCTGCTGTTCCTCATACACAGGAACAAACCAGTACCTGTGAGATTGGAACAAACCAGTGTTGTTATTTAGGACCAGGGGTGGTGCTGCACATCTGTAATCCCAGCACTCTGAGAGGCTGAGGCAATAGGACTAAGTGGGACAATAGGATCACAAGTTTGAGCCCAGCCTAGGCCACTTAGTGACTTGATGAGACCCTGTCTCAAAATTTAAAAAAATAATAATAAAATAAGAAGGGTTGAGTTCAATCCCTATTAAAAAAAAAAAAAAAAAGTTCCAAACCCAAGATAGTCACGGCCCTTGTACAGGAAGAAAAATTTCAACTCATGGCCAGTAGCAAATAAATATTCACAGATGAGCACAACTAGAAATGGTAGAAACCCATTTTTGAAAAACTCATGCTCAAAGCAGATCCACTGGCACACGGCACATGTTTTTGTTGCCCCTGGCAGAACACTGCCACCCCTCAGCCCACTGGCCTGTGAGAACCTCAGACCCTGACCTATGACCCTCCTTCCCTGCCTCATGACCCCCACACGCCAGCCAGCACATCCTCCAGGGCACACCCAGATGGGCCCTAGTGCAATCCCTGCTCTCCATTCCAGATGAGCGCATCGTGGTGATCAGCAGCTCAGAAGACTCTGATGCTGAGAACTCGGTGAGTGGCCCAGAAGTCTGGTCCAGGATTCCCACTGCCCCCCATTTCAGGTCCCAAGGGCCATAGCCTCCTTGGGTGACTCTCAGACTCACCTTAGACCTTTAGCAGGCAGATGGGCTCTTCCAAGATGCCTAGGAGAGTGCTTCCTGCCAGAGCCCACTGTCCTCTGCAGTGTCCATGGCTTTAGCAACTTCCACATGCATTTCCTGTCCCCTAAATCCTCTGTGAAGGAGGCTAGACAAGAATCCATTCCCTGCTTGTCACAGCCGATGAGGACTGGCAGAGAGAAGCGTGTGAAGTCACGGGCCAGACTAGCAAGTTTTGGCTCTATATAAGAAAGAACTTTAAGGGGCTGGGGATTTAGCTCAGCAGTTTGGTGGCCTGCCTTGCAAGGGCAAGGACCCGAGGTCAATC